AATCGAACTTGAATGGATGAATAGAAATTATTTTATTATATATATATATATATATATATATATATATAGTTCACATTTTCACAATCGTTAATAAAATAATTTCTATTCATCCATTCAAGTTCGAAAACATTTTTTAAAACTTGTAGTGGATGATACTTGATGTTAATACAGTTTTTTCAAATGTTAATTTATTCATTAAATTAAAAATTAATAAGTAGTAACAAATAAAAATGATAGTCCAACAGCATATATAGAAAGGAAAATTGCGCGCAATGTAGTGCAATGGATGGTGTGTTGAATTTCTAATCCAAAAGTCATAGTTTCGAATGAGACCTGGGATGACCTAATTTCTGAGAATGTGATTTCTTTTTTACTATGCTATTTAATTAGAATAATTAAATTTAATGAAAGAATAAATAAATAGTTATCAACAAACAGAGAGAGAAATAGTCCAACACCACATATAGAAAAGAAAATAGAAAATTGCAATGAAAATCACTTTCTATTTTGTCACTTAATACTGTGATTCTGTCACATGTATATACATATTTATATTAATTGTAACTATTTAGTAAAAAGTAACCAAAATAAAATGTTTCTTTGTTGACCTAAGTAGGAATTGACATTTTTATTTTATACTACTTGTTTATATGTATCTTATTATATCAAATAATATCATGTATTTTTTTTAATGTTAGTATATGAACACATTTTGAATGTCATTTATATATATAAGCGCTTATTATTTATTTTTGAGCAAGATCATCCTAGGTGTTTCCATTAGTATAACTTTTATGGTTATCCTTCCATTTATTGAAATTAAAAGATAAAAAAATTATTAATTTATGCGTTGCCTTTATTCTTACAGCTATGTTTATACGAAAAGGATTTCAAAATGTTTTGTATCTATTAATGACATACTTTTTTATGATAAACACAAAATAAAATGTCATTTTAAAATCTTATTCATATTAATTTTACTAAAAATGAACATTTACTTTCAGGTTGCATTCAAGATGAAAGTATGTATACAAATGTACTGGCTTTACCGAAGAATATTGAGGTTTGTATGCATCTGTATCTTTTTCTTAACATCATACATGTTTTCTGTGGGTAAAAAATGCTACAAAATATTTTGAAAGCAAAATATAGTTTTTACTTTCTCTTAATTCTATTTTTAACTTCCAATTTTGTGATTTTACCATGATACTGTCTGATATGGTCCCGTCATGAGCACGACATCCTCATCATCCTCAATTGTGGTTCTAAATTTACAAATGACGACATTAATTTTCAAACAATTGACAATCAAATTCTGTTATTTTTCAACGTATTTTTAATTAATATATTCAAGCACACACAGAACCAGTGACGCAACAGAGAATATTAGGGCTCCTCTGCCAAGTCAAGTTTTACCTTTAATATTTTATTAACTCAAACTCAACAGCCCATGAGGGTCAAGGCCTACTGTGCTCCTCCCAGTATACGGGACCATTCGGCACTGAGGTTCAGTTGATCAGTTTGAAGCGAGACCCCCAATGTTTAAGTCCCCAAGCAAGCTTGGTACTCATTTATCGACCCACTGCAGTAGGGATGAAAGGCTGATTCGACCTCGCCCAGTCCGGGAATAGAACCCGGACCTGTGGTGTGGAAGTGCGATACGCTACCACTCGACCACTGGGCCTTTTAATATTTTATAAATTGGTTAAATACGTACTTGATGTCAGTAAGTTTGAGGGCCCCCTGGAATCATGTCCCCCCTGCGATGCGGGGGTGTACGTTACGCCACTGGACATAACTCTATAATTGCTTCATTCTAAAATATAACAAGTAATACAAATTCGTTTATCAGAAAACACATTTTTAATGTTATAGATTTTAATGCTTGTATCCTAAAGCGAAGTCTTTTCAAAATACTGAGTGTTCATCATGAAAAATTAAGTATATGGGCTCTGTATGAAGATTTTAAAGCTAATAATATAAAAATAGCTGTATTGCCAGGAAAACTGTATTTTAAGTCATTAAAAAGGCTTATATAAGCTATGCTCAAAAAATTTACACATGCAGCAATTGGTTTTACCATCTAATTTTGTTTTCTTATTCTTGCAGAATTCAAGAAATTACAAAAAGTCTCCAAACAAGCCTAATTCAAAGAGAATAACTGTCAGAAGGAATTCAGCGGACAATTCCAGTCTTGTTTCCACGGACGACAGTCGACTAATAGAAGAACATTCATCGTCTACACATTCCGATAACTCATCTGACGAGTACTATTCGAGAGTATGTTGTAACTCTTCCGTCAAATCAAGTTTCCCGAATAATTCTGATACGGAAAGACTTTTAATGTCCTATGGCGAATATATTCCTAGAACGCAAAGAAAAAAGAAACTCCAGAAAATTTCTAAGCTCAATTCGAATTTTGGAAGGCGGCGATCAAATACTTTTCACACTAACAGAGATTTACAAAAGCCAACAATCGTTGAACATGTACCTCAAAAATGTCATTCATTTCGCGTACCTCGAGAAATTTATGAAGGTCCTATAATAAATAGAACTCCGTACATCCGAAGAAAGCATCAAAATTCAAATATTCGCACCCAGGTAGATATGAGCTGCAAAGCAATGAAGTCCCAAACCTTCCAAGAAACTACTCAACTTAGTAAAAGAGACAATGACTTCTTTGAGAATTATAATAATAGTTTACTGAGAGAAGTTGCTTCGGATTCCAAAATACCATTAATCATGCAGATAAAGAAATACTCAGATCAATATGGGGAGAAAAGCGGGAAAATTGCCGACAAGATCCATGAGTGATAAAACTAAAAAGGAAATGGCGACAGATAAGGAATCTACACAAAAGAAAAGATTAAAAAAGCGTCTTAAATCTCCCGATACGCCAGCAGTTGCAGCAGCATTTCCAGACGTTGGAACAAATTCAAATATGTCGGGAAACACTTCAGCACAGCATAACAGAACGAGATGCTCGAACTCATCTCAAAATACCAATTGCAGTAAAAAATACGAAAATGAATTACCAAAAGAAAACCTTGATGTTTCTCAATTAGGTACTCGTAATGGCTCAGCAGAAGTTCCAACAATAACAATCCAGTTCCCAAAAAGAAAGCACAGAAAACCTTCGCACAATACAGACGACGCAGTTGTTCCTGAAGAACAAAGTTTTACAATTGTCATGCCGAAAAAACGTAGCCTAAGTTCAGAGTGTGATTCAAGCATTTCAGAAAGCTCTCCCCGGGAAGAATCTAAGATGATACATTCCGACAAAATAAATAGTTCTTTAGATTCTTCCATTCGGAAGGATTCGACAGTCCATTCGAACACCGGTCCTCATTTATCAAATTCTAATAGAAAAAACGACGATAATTCAAAGGGAAACATTCAGTTGATGAAATTAGTGTCCTTGGATAATTTTGATAGTCCTTTTGAGCCTAATGGAAGCTTAACTACTAAAGAACATCAACAAAGCGAACCTCAAAACAGAAAACGTAAAGCTGATGATGGTAGTTGTAGTGGTAAAAATTCACCTACTGAAGAAATGATCGACATGATAACCGCAGGAAAAAACCCGTCAGATTCCCGAAGTCTGACAAAAAGCTCCACAACTGAATTAGAAAGTGGCAATTCTCAAAATGTTTCCTCACGAACTAACTACATAAAGTCTCCATCTGCTCCTCAGTTAGATTGGCGTAAAGTATGTGCTAAGAAAATATCGAGGTCGGGCTCCAAATGTTAGGATTCTAATTGAAAGGTATAATCAAAAATTAATTGAAAGCCAAACAGGCAAAAGTCCTCTATCCAGCAATGTCAGTTCGCCAACCACGCCAAGAAAAATTTCTACGCCTGTCAATAGCAGTTCGCCTCCGGAATATATTCCTCATTTTAGTAGCACACCTAACACACCAACATCATCACCTTCCTACACACCTTTGGCTTTTAAGTCAGCAGCAAACTATCCCAAAACTCCACCATCAAGTCCGGTGTCGCTTGCTAGAAGTGAAGCACTAAAAAAGGCAAAAGAGGATTTCATAGCTTCTTCACCTCAAGTTTCTACACCGAACTCTCCCATAATGTTAAGAACTGATAGTTCTCAAACCACTCCTCAAAAGTCGATTGAAAGTCCATGGTTGGAAAGGCACCAAACAAAAGATCAACTCTCAAAAACAGCCCCATTAGAAAGGACAAGGTCTGACGAAGACAGAATGTCAAATTGTTCAATGGATTCCATGAGCCTTGTAATGTTGAGAGCAGGTGAAAACTGTAGAGAGTCCCGCTTACCAAAGAAAACGTCAGATTCCCAAAAAGGTGAACTGCCTGAAGGGCACACTCTGAAAACATCCAAGTCCTTGTCGAGTTCGTCACTTTTTAAAACTGTTCTTCATTCAGATTTCAAAGTGCCAACGAATCTTTTAAAGTTGAAACGAAGTAAGCGTAAAAAAGACATGTCCACAGTCACCGAATTGTGCCGACAAAGTTTACTTTTAACTACAGAAGACACACAAAACATTCTTACCCCTGCTTCCCATAAGAGTTGTCCTTCGTCACCCGAACTGAAAGCAAAGACTGTGGGGAAGCCTAATTGGTTACAAAGAAATATTTTCCGTCACAAATGAAAGTTGTATACACTTTTCTAATAAATTATTTTATCTTTTGTAATACGTTATGAAATACAGTTTTTATTGTAGAAATACGAGTTAGTGGTGTATAAAACTAATGGGGAATGGAGAGAAAGACAATTTTAAATATTGGAGAGAACAGTGAAATTTTACCCAAATTTTATTTTAGTTACTTTTTTTTTAAATAATTACAATTAATATAAATGTGTATATACATATGACAGAATCATAATGTTAAGTGGCAAAATAGAAAGCAATTTTCCATTTTCCTTTCTATATAGGACTATTTTTTGTTTGTTTGATACTATTTATTCGTTAATTAAATTTAATTATTCTGGCAAAAAAGAAATCACATTTTCAGAAACTAGGCCTTCCAGGTGGGATTCGAATCCACGACCTTTGGATTAGAAGTCCAACGCACCTACCCACATTGCGTTACAGGAATACAATGACTGATTTGGATTATTTTTGTTTGTTACAATTTATTCACTTTTTAATTTAATTAATGAATTAATATTTGAAAAAACTGTATTAACATCAAGTGACCTCCACTACAAGTTTTACAAAATGTATTTGAACTTAAATGGATGAATAGAAAGTATTGTGTTAACGATTGAAATTGAAATTTTGAACAAGATTTTATATATATATATATATATATATATATATATAGGGAGAGTGCAAACTAATAGTAGGAATTGAAAAAAATACATTTGTAAATTTTGCAATATTCTTTCCATATATGCAATCGAACTTTTATGTGATGATTGAGTTCGGAAAAAACGTGGATGTCACTTTATATTGTTTTTAAAGTGGTTGTCATGACACAAAATGCTTTTTTAACCCCTATTTACCTTTCTCCATTCAAAAGCGACGTAGTCGGGAATGAAATTTCATTTCAATCAAGAAAATACAGTTTGAAAAATTGAAATTATACGTATGCCTTTTTTTTTTTTAGAGAGCTCCTCTGTTTTTCTTCCCTTCTAATTATCACTATGTTTATACTGTTATGGTTTTCCAACTCCATGATCAGTTTTCTAATGACACTAATAATTTTAATTTATTTTGTTTCTCAATTTTTTTTCGATTTTCCCACCTATCCATTTTGATAAAAATTTAACTCTATAGTTACAAAAAAATTATAATAAAATTGTTACTGATATTTCTAACTACTATAAGCATATTTGATCTCTAAATTTCAGAATAAAAGACCGAATAAAGCTTAAATTATATTACTTATAATATTTACATTTTCTGTAATATACAATAAATGCTTAAATTACCTCAAAAAGAGAGATTATCTTTGAATTACTAAAATATGCTTTTAGTTCTTTTAGCATACATAAGCTTACATTTTTACCATAAGCACTTCAAAGCAATTACAGTTATGTTATAGTAATAAGTTAAGCATGTGTGTGTGCAATATGCTTACAAGTTTAGATAGAAATTGAATCTTATTAGTAGTTTTAACAAGTAAAAGTTTTTTTCTAGATTACCATTTAAAAAAAGTTTGTTAAAGAGTTTTCAAGAAATAGTTTTATGCAGTTTTAAATAGTTAACTGTGGTGCCCCGTTTGAGAGGGCGCTACTGTGCGTGTCACGGAAATCGAACAATGACGAGTAGACTCAACAATCACACAGAGTAAATGTTGCTGTAAAAATATTGGATCGAAAAGATAGTAGGAAAATTGGCAATTTTATAAAATAAATCTAATACTTATTTATTTGGTTAACAAAACCATTATGTTCATACATACAGGGTATCCGGGCTTTCGGCTCCGGGTATCCAAAAGTTATGGCTAATTATTATGGAACTACTCATCAGAAAAGAATAAACTGTTCATCCGTGGATTGGAAACCCCTCCGAGACTTTTCGGATCTAGTCCGATCTGCCGCATGTGCTCGCATTATTCGGCCATCTCAGACGATAAACTTGTTACACTGACTTCATTAGTAAAGATGTGGACGCCCCAGCAAAAGGAGCAATGCGTACTTTGGTTAACGGAATTTAAATCAGTCACGCGTGTACAGCGACGTGTTCGAACAGAATGGAATGTCGTCACCGGCTTGCCGATTAGACGTTTCAGGACTCCTACAAAATGAATCACGCACACTATCAACAGTGTCTTCTAACACGAGAACTTACAAGATACTTGCCAGTTTGAGATACCAAAGTTCCCGTCTCCTTTAAAGTTATTTCCCATTGGTGGATAGATTTTGATGTCGGAGGATGGACATTCCATTCTGTTCGAACAAGTCGCTGTAGACGCGTGATTGATTTAAATTCCGTTAACTGAAATACGCACTGCATCTGTTGCTGGGGTGTCCACATCTTCACTAATGAAGTCAGTGTAACAAGTTTACCGTCTGAGATTGCCTAGATCGGACTAGACCCAAAAATCTCGGGGGATTTTCCAATCCCCGGTTGAACAGTTTATTACATTCTGATGGATAGTTCCGTAATAATAAGCCATAACTTTTGGATACTTTAAGCCCGGACACCCGGTATTATTCGAAAAACTAAAGAAAAATTAAACGTATATAAAGGTAAGAATTAGTAAAAAAATCGGTAAAAATCATCTTTTCGACATTTGTTTTTACCTCTTTTAGACTAACATCTAAAAAACATTTTATCGCACATAAATGACGAACTTATACGCTTACGAAGACGTATGAGATCATTTTAAATTTTTCATATTTTTGTTTTGCTCCGGCAGACCTCAAGATATTCTAAACATCTTGAAATTTGAGAATATGTTTTGTTTTTTTCAAAAATTACAATTTAAATAGCCAATGACCATTACTTTTTACGCATGACGAGTTTACTCGTCATAACAAAAAATTCTGCAACTTCCCCATGACGAGGATACTCGTCAATTACATTTTAACTGGTTAAGTATGAAAAATTTGCTTTTGAATTACTAAAAAATATTTATCACAACGCAAAACAAAACATGATGATTAAAGTAACTTGAAAAGTAGCGTAAGTTCTACTGAAAAAATCATTATAATTAAGTGCATATAATTCAAAACGCTTGAATCTTTTCTGCAATGTTATATTTTTAACATTTCATTTATTTTCAAATGTTCCCAAGATTTTATGATCAAACTAATTTCTTTAATTAATTACGAAAACCTTATACCCTAGTTTTTAAAAAGATATTCAAGAATCCCAAAATCTCTTATTTAAACTAATTATAATTTATGAAAATTTTTTTACATAAATAAGGCTTGTTAATTCCGTAGTAATTAAGTATACAAAATTGGTACATAACATACTAAAAATTTCTCAATATTAATGTTATGCTGAAATTTCCATTCAATGACTTGAAGTTATAATTTATTTATTCAAGTTAGATATATATACTGAGATATACTAATCCAGTCCTTGCCACTAAATGTTAATACGAATTACGTTATGTTTGGAAAAAAAAATTTTAAAATAAATCACATTTTTATGAAAAATTTAAATAGTTGAATAGTAACAGTATTAAATATGCCATGCTCAAACTATTGCCACTATCTTTTCCTTACTGCTGTCAGTCAAGGACATAGGTGATGGATAATGAAGACTTTCCAAAGAGCAAAAACAAATAAAGGAAAAAGAGTAAGAGTAAAGGGAAACTCTCTCGAACCAAAACTGCCTAGGTTAGAACTAAAGGTGGGAGGGGAGCGAAACAATTTGAAGTGCTTAGGGCAGGGATGGCGAGAACCAGTGGCACGCGTGCCATCAATGGCACTCCACTCAATATTTTGGGCACGCCATGAATCGAAATGGTTTGCATTTTATTTCAAAATAACAAGATTCACTATGAAGTATTACGAACAAAAAAAAAAAAAAAAAAACGTGGCCAAGATCACACTCATTTGTTATTGTCCTGCCTTAGTTACGTCGTGGACTTCAGTTGCTTATGATGCAAAACTTGTCCACTCATAACATTGCCAATTTCGTTAAAAAACTAGTGTAGTTTAAAGTTTATTTGTGTTATATTTACGATTTTTAAATGTTATTTAACATGGCTAATTCAGCAAAAGAACAAAAAGTGCAAGATAGTAAGTGTAACAGAGTATTTCAAATTTGGAGAACCAAAAAACATGGCATTATTGGTAAAGGTTACAAAGCGGTGTGTATTTTATGTTCTGGAATAGTGGTATGCAGAACATCGTCTGTAAAACGTTATTTTGAAATAAATCGCAAACCCTCTTGTCAAAAAAGTGAACCACAGCAAAAATAATTCATTAATTGCTTAGAAACCGTTTGGCAAATGACTCCAATTCAGCATGCATTGTACTAAAAGTAACATCTTATAATCATAACATTAGTTATTTGTCATCCAATCTGCAACAGAAGTCACACTAATGTTACTTTAATTTGAATTACCAAGTATTATAAAACTTTGATAACTATACAGTACAAAAGGTATTTTTTCGTAGTAATTAGTGTTGTTCAGTGGCGCACACAAGAGGGGGTCCTGGGGTCCGGCCCCCCCCCCCCCAAACCCTTGATTTTTTTCCGATTGACTATAATTGTAAGTATATAGTACGTAAAACTTAATTAAATATTTGTTATTAATGATTAATTTTATTAATTAATGTTAATTATGTATTCAATAATTAGTTTTTTATTGTGTTTTGTTCCCGAAAATCGACAAAATCAAAAGGAGCTTGATACAAGAATGGTGAACATTCGACCCCGGACCCCCCCTTGAAAAATTCCTGTGTGCACTACTGGTGTTGTTAGTATATTTAGTTTTATTATTCTCCCAGTAATCAAGTCAAAATCATTTGACGGCACGTCTATACCTCATTAAACACTTTAGAAAAAATTGCACGTTGATCCATAAAAGTTCGCCACCCCTGGCCTAGGGAGTCGGGAAGATTAAAAACGGCCCTGATAAGGGGCCAAATCTTTTCAGAGCTTGAAGAACGCGATTTTATTGGTAAATCAATTTGAAAATCAATCAGTACCAACTCCGCTGCAGCATTGTTTTCTTGAAAATTATGATACTCCATTCAAAAGTAGAGAACTACTCACAGCATCAATCTCTATAAAAGGCCAACAGTAGCGTTAACGCGATCTACCGAGAATGTCATCGCGAGCTACCACTAGTTCGCGATCGATGGTTTGGGCAATCACTGTTGTAGACGAATCTGAATGGATGTTGCTCTTGATATAGAAAAAAAAAATAAACTTTGTAGTTAAACTCGTAAAAATAACTAAAAAAAAAATTATAAAAGTACTAATTAACAGTTCTTAAAGATAAAAAAAACTAGCATTCTCAAACTTAAATCCATGCTAATTTTGCAGTAAATTTATCTGAAAGTACTCAAACTCAATGGCGCAACAGCACATGAGGGCCAGGGCCTACTGTGCCCATCCCAGTATACGTGACCATTGGGGGCTGAGGTGCATGAGCAGATTCCCAGTGTTTAAAGTCCTCAAGCA